GCAGCGGCCTGGCCTGCCCCAGGGTGGCCCTCGGCCACTAACTGCTGGCCCTGCTCCAGGGTGAGCTTCAAGGGCCCCAGCCGGCCGCTCATCTCGCCTCGCAGGGCTGTGTGCTTGTTGAGCAGGCGGAGGACACCAGTCAGGTCCCGGCCAGTTTCGGCTGAGGCCAGCAGGTGCTGCTGCTCTCGCACCCAGGCCTCGGCCTCGCCCGCCTCCCAGAGGAAACGCCAGAGGCGCCGGGACTCCTCCAGACGGGCCCGCCTGGCGGCAGCCAACTTGCACAGGGCCTCGTAGGTCTGCTCCAGGGTGGCCACCCGCTCTGACACCAGCTGCGGGTCGCACGGTTTGTACTCTGAAAAAGTCACGGTGCAGGGTTCAGAGCTGTAACATGGCCCTCCTGTTGCCCATCCATCTCTGGTCTCAAACCCTCACTCTACTCCCTAGAGCTCCCTCCCTCGTTCTGTCACCCACCATCCACCCATCATCCTTCCCAGCCCCTCCCATTTCCAGTCCCTCCCCCAGTTCTCACCCTTTCCTGGGTCACAGAAGCGCAGGGCAGAGGCACTGACAGCCCGCACCCTCTCAGCCTGTGCGGCGATGTCTGCTTCCACCAGCTCGTGTAGCTGCAGCAGGTCCTCCACTCCAGCCAGGTGCTTGCCCAGGTCCTGGGACTGCAGCCGGCCCTGCCAGGCACACCAGGCACATCGATGCCCATCTGAGAGCCACCCAGGTCCCCTCACCAGGCCTCTTTCAGCCCCGCCACACACCTGTGCCACCCTCACTCCATTTTCCTGGATCAATCGCACCTCCCGAACTCTCTGAGCGGCTCCTGTGTCACACCTAGGTGAACACACCTGCTCCCATCTGTGAGCCCTCACACACACAGGGACACCCCAGTACTGTCCTGGCACCCTGGACTCTTTGTACACAACTCGCCTCCTGTGGCAGGACCCTCTTACTAAATCCTGCTCCTGGAATCTCCGCTCTGACTCATTTTCTCGGCCCCAGAATTATCGCCTCCTATTATCATCAGCATCTAGTAATCTTCAGCACCTCTCCAGACCCCTCCTTATCCCCATCTTCCGCTCTGACTCATTTTCTCGGCCCCAGAATTATTGCCTCCTATTATCATGGCTCGGTCCCTAGTAATCTTCAGCACCTCTCCAGACCCCTCCTTATCCCCATCTGTCACCTAGATCACTGCAGCAGCCTTGAACCCGTTTCTCGGCTCCCCTCTGGCTGTCCACAGACCTTCACATGGCCAAAGTGGCCTTTCTAAAAACAAAGTGGAATCATGTCTCTCCCCTTTTCAAAACCTTCTGATCACTTTTAAGACTCCATGGCACTATGATGTGTGTCTCACATTGATGTTTCTCTCTCTCTCTCTGTCTCTACCCTTCCCATCCACTCTCTCTAAAAATCAGTGGAAGAATATTCCTAGGGTGAGGTTTAAAAAAAAAAAAAAAAAGCCCAGCCAGTGTTCAAAAGCGAACAATGTTCTAACCTTTGGAGATTACTCTTCCTATCCACTCTCTCTAAAAATCAGTGGAAGAATATTCCTGGGGTGAGGATTAAAAAAAAAAAAAGCCCGGCCAGTGTGGCTCAGTGGTTGAGCATCAGCCCATGAACCAGGAGATCATGGTTTGATTTATGGTCAGGGCACATGCCCAGGTTTTGGGCTTGATCTCCAGTAGGGGGCGTGAGGAGGCAGCTGATGGATGATTTTCTCATCATTGATGTTTCTATCTCTTTCTTCCTCTCCCTTCCTCTCTCTGAAATCAATAAAAATATATTTTTAAAAAAAGGCTCCATGTTACTATGAATAAAATCCGAACTCCTGCCTTAGCCGGTTTGGCTCAGTGGATAGAGCATTGGCCTGTGGACCAAAGGGTCCCTGATTCAATTCCAGTCAAGGGCACATACCTCGGTTACAAGCTCCTCCCCGGCCCGGGCCCTGGTCAGGGCTTGTGCAGGAGACAACCAATCGATGTGTTTCTCACATCAATGTTTCTCTCTGTCTTTCCCTCTCTCTTACACTCTCCCT